CCCCCCCCACCACCACCACCCACCACCCTTTCACCTCTACTGCTACACACATTCCAAACAAGCTGTTCATGGATAATTTAACTGACTTGTGGAAGCCTTTACATGACTCCACAATGTGCGCTTACCGTAAACCACTTTGACGAAATATATGAATTGACCACTTATAAACAAACCTACGTAAAGGCCTTCTAATGACTTTCAAATGATAGAGGGCGATAAGAGTGTTCACGTTTACGAAACCCAAGCCGAAACCAGACAGACAGGTTTTGTTGAGTCGGGGGTGGAGGGAGTGGGAGTATACCAAATACGTTCCTCACTTCCGTTTTGCGGCGATCTCAGAACATAAGCATGACGATTCACGTCAACGGGTCACGTGCGGAATTCTGAAGAAATCACCGATAGTGGATTCAAGATCAAGGAAGACGAGATTAAAAGGGTTCCGATCGCATGTTCTAGTTCTCTTATCTTTGTACCATTCTAACGTTCAGCCAGCAGGAATTAAGTCAAGTCTTGACAGGTTTCATCACATTAAAAGACAAAGGCCCCACAATGGCAGAACAATGAGGACGTCAGCCCTTCAGAAGTATTGGTGTTGTCTTGTCAACAGGGTCATGCTGAGTAAAGCAAACAGAAATGTGAAAATGAAGGGGGGGGGGGAGATGAAGGTATGTGAAAAGCTCCAAGGAAAGTACACAATCATGAGGGCATTGTCTCAACATGAAACAAACGGGCGACTCTGAAGGGGTGTCAAAAGACACATCAACATGTGATATGAAAAAGGTGGTTCACAAGTAGTCCACCCACACTCCTCCCCCACCTCAATTTGCTTTGTTTCCTTCTCCCAAAATAGCAATTTTGACACACTATAAAATACATAGCGGAGCAATATTACTCCTACTGTATGGTTGAAAGAGAATTTCTCCGATTTTTGCCCACTACCTTATGAAATGCAGAGTCACTGTCGTCTTGAAAACATAGCATAATAATTAAACCATGAGGTCCAAACATTTGAACCCACACCGGTGCAATGGCAAGTCGCTAAAATGTATCCTTATTTCAAACCATTCTTTCCTCCTTTGGCATGTCCCACACACTGCCCTGCTAACTACAGTGTGTGTAATACTACAAGTGTTTTATTTTTATTGTCCACAACAAGTTATTTGATAAATGACTAATTTTGATCATGTATCTTCATGATCCCATTGAACATTTTGCACGTAATCCCTGAAATTGGTGTCCACCCTGTCATAAGGCACTCTCTGGCGATGTTTACCATCAGCATTTTGTCTTTCTGAAACCGGTGGCTCGTTGCGGAGTAAATATCTGCACTTACTTTGGTATGTTTCGCAATTTTCATCATATCGTGTGTCGTTCACTCCGAAATATCAATAGAAAGAATAACCTTTCAGAAATTCAAAGTACATTCGCAAAAGAGCACGCAGTCGGCTTGCTAACTAAATCATGTTGCTAACAGTAGGTCATACGATGCTAATATGAGAAAAAGAAAAAAATGTTCACCCAGTCATTGGCCACCATGTTGACGAGCTCAAATACTTTGCTGTTTGCATATATTGTCGGCTTGTAGTTAATGTATTAATAAGTGTGGGATCTTGACCAATATATATTTCCAAGAGTGTACCATCTACTTAAAACAACTCAGAAATGTTTGGTATGAAAAGGGGAAGTCTCAAAGGCTGCTTGTGGTGACATTGACTCATATGAAAAAAGTTGTGAATAAAGCCGAGATACTTACGTTCCGACTGTTCAGGTGTAAGAACCAGAACAGTGACTTTGGTCGAGTCCGACTGACCAATGGTGTCCGTGACCGTCAATTGGAATTTGTACATTCCCGACGTCAGATTGGACACAATAATCTGGTCATCGAAGCTGGTTTTCTACATGAAAACAAAAACTTGGTTACCATTTGGATGCATCACTTCCTGAGAACTCAACAGCCAATTAACACTGCCTCACCTCTATCACAGCATAGGGATACTTGGTAAGCATTTGCCACAAATAGGACACAATCCCTTCGTCGTCTTTGCTCTCCAAGCCGTTCAGCGTCACGCTGTCTTGAGGCTGGACCACGCGGTCCTGGCCTCCATTGGCCACTGGTGGACGGTCGGTTTCTTCTGGAGTGAGACAGCATGGTAACAATTTTATTCCACAACCACCGAGCGCACACAGATTCCAATTCAACCCTCTTCCGAGCTCATACCACAACACATTCACATGTGAAATCAATCTGCGGTAGATGAGAAACGAAAAGTACGGCGGCGGCCGTAAGGCTTGGGCATGTGTCAACATGCTGAAATGGAGGTTTCTAGCCTAGTTATGTGGCCTTACGTGTCGTGAGTGCAAACAGAGTGGGACTGGAATGGGAAGCGGGAAGAGGGGAAGAATAAAAAATAAAAAGCTGCGCAACTTAATGTTGAGGAGAGAGGTGTACATTTAATGACCTCCAAATTAATTGCCTATTTCTCTGTTGCCAAAAGATGAGAAACTCTTGGACGCAGATGTCATTTCAAGTCATTCACAGATGAGATGTGTGTCTCGGTTTTTTTCATATTTGTTGAAAAATAACACTAGCGACTTCATTGTATCTCACAAAGTAATACAATGGATTCAAAGTAGTCCATGTTTCATTTTCAGTCCATCACTTGGATCCCGTGGGTTTATTAACAGCATCTGAGATCTCAAATTATTATTATTATTTTTTTTTTAAGCAGAGTGATTTTAAGGGTGAAAGTAGAAAATTCAGGGGCACACACTGTAATCGACTTATGTATTTATATGTTCACTCATTTTTATTATGTTGCTGATAAATGGGGTCAAGTGTGGACCAGGGGTTTGTCAGGAACAAAAACATTCAATCATCATGATAATAATATAAAGATTTAAAAAAAAAACTGAAAATTCAATGGTCACGAATGTGTGAGTGGATGAAAAATTTACTTGTACTGTCTCAAACTATCAGGGCAAAATGTCAGCATTTAGGGGCAGCCTGGAGCCCTGCCAGTACCTGCAACATGACCACTATTAAAATACAGTAGCGTAGTAGGCCTAAGTCTTGGTGAAAATGGTACGTAAATAAATGCTTGATGATGATAAATCTCACGCATCAAATGCACTTTATTTTAACAAGTATAATAAATCTGAAATGAAACCAAATTGTAAACACAAAAGTCACTGTCCTAAAGCATTTTGAAGCTATCTGCAACTTCCCTTGACTTTGTTTCCGACAACTTTATTGCAAAACAGCGTAGGCAGTAGATGTTTCAAGTGTTGGTTCTCAACTGTTGTCACCCTGGGAATTGAGTTTTTTTTTTATCATTGCCAAGTCATGACCCACTTTTGCAGAAGTTACCAACAATAAACAACATACAATGTTCAACAGCATACCCATTGAAAACATAGAAATAACATTTTTAAACATATCTTCTCAAGCTTACGTGTGCAAAGTGCAGCTGAGAGTCACTGATTTAGAGCATGAAAGAAAATGATATTAACATTTTGTTGAAGGTGAATAATCGAGAGGAGTTGTGATCGATTCAAAAATATTAATGACCCGTGTGTGTGTGTGTGTGTGTGTGTGTGTGTGTGTGTTGATGGTCTTACTTGGTGGGAGATCTACTTCGAGGTAGCTCTCGTAGACAGAGTCCAGGATGTAGTTGTAGTAACCTTTCTTCCTTACAAAGCGACAGGCGTATTTCTTCTTGTAGAGGCAGTTAAAGAGGAAGCAGGATTTGATGGAGTTCTCCTCAGCACCCCCCTGCATGAAGGCCACATTGCACTTTTCCTCCTTGCAGCAGGCCGCCACGCAGTCTCTGGAGCGGTCCAGTTTGGGGGACGAGATGAACATGGCCCCGTCCTTCACGGACTCGTCGACGTCCAACACAAAATCTTCGCGGCCTTTCTTAAATTTGGCCAAACACTCCTCACCTGTCTCCTGACTGAAGGCGCACGCCAAAAATACCAGTAGCAACACCAGCGGCCACCAACCCATAATTATTACAACAATTAAAAAAAAAAAACTCCTACAATTCAAAATCGGATTCCTAGCGCCACCTGTAACGAAACCGAGGCCAATAATTAACTTCAAATGTCTTCCTGGGCACTTTCCTCGAAGGGTGAACACAAACGTGTTCGTGTTACCTTCTGAGGCCGCGAAGGGTGAACACAAACGTGTTCGTGTTACCTTCTCACTCAACACGCGCACACACACGCAAAACCTAACAGAAGAAAGAACATCCACGAAGAGTAAAGTCCTGCCGAGGCACTCTCGCCGTCGGTGACACTTTGGGGACTGGAAGACTCCAACGTTTGATCACGACAAAGAACTGGCGTGTGACGACACTCCAAGTGACTCAATCTGCACTCACCTGGTTGAGAGAGACAGGAAGTGAAATTCCACTCGTGAGCATACCACGCCCTTTCACTGCCTCTCTCTCTCTCTCTCTCTCTCTCTCTCTCTCTCTCTCTCTCTCTCTCTCTCTCTCTCTCTCTCTCTCTCTCTCTCTCTCTCTCTCTCTCTCTCTCCCTCTCTCTCTCTCTCTCTCTCTCTCTCTTTTTGGGCTTTGGAGAACTTTTACACGTTGTTGTGGAATTCCCAGTGTGATCATGGGTGTATCCCCCCCCCCCAAGAGTTTTCCTTTCCCCGTTAACATCTATTTTGTTTCCAATCTTTTTGTTTATTGCGTAGGACGAAAAGTACTCAATTTGGTCAGTGGATAGCAGTGTAGGATCACCACCAATTCAGCATGTGTTACCCGTGGCTGTAGTTTAGTATAGCTGATGCCCACAGCCATTTCCTCATAGTTGAGAACTGGCGTTCTTTTAACAACCGCCACTGTTTCCGTTGTTTTAAAACTCTAACCTGTGTTTCAACTAAATCTATATCTGTTACTTCGTTCTGCATTCCATTACCTGTAACAGTTGCATGTCAATAAACGTGACGATTTCGAATTGTAATCCCACTAAATCAAACTGAATCGAATAGTTTCATTTAAACGGGAAGTCAAGTAAAAAATTTACTTTACGATGTCTTCTATGATGCCCCACTAATCAAAACACATTCTTTTGATTAATATTGCGTTTGTGTAATATAAATTAGGCAGCAAAATATATTTGTTTTTATCGATTTTCACGATACCATGTTGAGACAGTTGGGGTGGAATAAATATACTGAATTGTTTGTTTAAGCACACCATGTCTCTATTAAGTGCAGTTCTTGTTAAAAAAATTGAAAATTGGCATTTTATGGATGGTAATGTGTAACTTTGTGTAGAAAGTCATTTATTGACATTTTTATTGTTTGCATATTGGCTATTTCTTGCAAACAATCAGATATAAGTATTGCACACGTAAGAGTAAAATGCCTTTAATTTCTTTTTCATTTTTATTTTTTCTTTGTGTTTGTTTAGTCCTACAGTATCTTACAGTTGTTTGTGAATAACAGCCCCGGGCGCATTTTCCACTTTATTCCGAAAGGTGGCAATACTGCCTCACCTTCTAAAAAGAATAGCTTATTCGTGTAAAATGTCATTTTGTCGCGCTTCTTCGTTAAAATGTCAAAATACACGTGGCACGTTATTTCACACATCATGACTGATTTTTGAGCTGACTCAGACTGAGTCATGATTGACATCATCACGCGAAACTACTCGGGAGAAACCGGAAGTTGGCATGGGAACTGTGACGCCCTCAATGATCAATGTGCTGCATTGACTCCGGCAGGGGTGCCCTCGAGAGCCCTTATCCAGACTGTTTTCGATGTCTCCCTCCTCCAACACGCCCGATTCAAATATTAGCTCATCAGCTTGAGCTTTGCAGATGCCTGATGACGGTCCCGATTACTTAAATCAAGTGTGTTGGAGGAGCGAAACAGGCAACCTTTGCACCCCTGGCCTACAGTATAATGAATGTATATCATGAAGGTTGTGTTGACGATCCCTGTTGTAAAGACGATGTAATTCAAGCTCGTTCACTAGGTCTGCTTTCATCTCCAGTGTACATGGGTGAGGTGAGCAGGCTGTCGGCACATCTGTGGTCCTTAACGGTGCAGAACTAAGTAGCATAATAACAGATGGATGAATTTGTGTGGCTGGAAAGGTGAGCGGCTAAAGGCTCTTAATAATTCAGCAGCATGTGTGGCCATGGCTGATTAGAGTCCCTACCAGCAGAACCTTTTTAATCACAATGGAATGGGATCATTGGAAACTTTTGGGAACTGTATGGTAACACAATGTATTATTGACCTTTGATTAGGTGCTATGTGACGTGACTAATATATTAATTTTGAAACAAATAGGGCTGGTGTTTTGTCGATCCTTTTTCACTTTTTGACATAAAGTAAAATGTCCATCCATCCTCACAAGGGTCACGGGGCGTGCTGGAGCCTATCCCAGCTCTCTTCGGGCAATAGGCGGGGGGCACCCTGAACCGGTTGTCAGCCAATCGCAGGGAACACAAAGACGAAAAACCACCCACGCTCACACTCACACCTAGGGACAATTTTTGAGTGTTCAATCAGCCTGCCATGCATATTTTTGCAATGTGGGAGGAAACCGGAGTACCCGGAGAAAACCCACACAGGCACGGGGAGAACATGCAAACTCCACACACAGGAAGGCCGGAGCTGGAATCGAACCCGGTACCTCTGCACTGTGAGGTCAACGCGCTGCCACCGGGCCGCCTAAAGTAAAATATCGTAAAATAGTAAATGGCTGGTCAGATATATTAATCAATGGAAACCATTCCAATCCATAATTCCCATTGTATTACAGCACTTTGATGCAGGAGCGGTTGTGGAGAAAGTGTTCCAGAAATGAAGTTGCATTGAGTATCCGTATTATTGGTTGCCAGCCAATTGTTTTTTTATTCAATGTCTTTTGTGGTTTATTCTTTCCCTAATGGAAGAGCACTAACCTTTACGTCTCCAGATTTTATAACCATCACCCATAAAAGCTCTTTGTTATATTTTGTTGCTGTTATTAATGGCATTGTAACCGAGGAGGCCCATTTGACTTCAAAGATGAGTAAACATTAAGCAACGGAAAAATCATTATCACGATCGAGGAACACAAAAAGAATCACTTTTATACTCAAATACTGTGCTGTAAAATAGAACAAAATGACAGATTATAAGAGGAAAAAAAATTGTAATGTCAATGTTGACACTTTTTCAGACACAGTTTGTTGCCCTTTGCTGATTTACAGGCATCTCCTTTCCTGATTAGTCTTTGTACAGTGTGTTTTTTTTTTTTTATGGCTGTAACTGACCTATGCTCTTCCACTACATATCACACTCACTCACACACACACACAAACAGGCGTATCTCCTTACATCAGCCTCATAGTGTAGGCAGTGGGTGTTGCAAGAGGAGGCGAGAAGGAGAGCTTCACAAAGAAAGAGAGAGAGGGACAAACAGTGTGAGTCAGAGTCAGCGTTACAGAAAAGGCAGACATTGAATACTAGACCAGTGCACGGAGATCGAGTGGGCCAGAGCCTTCTTCGCCCGCTTGCGTGTGTGCGTGCGCGTGGCAAAAGAGAGCTTGGTGCGTTTCCACGGGGTCTCCTGAGGCCGTGGCAACCATGGCGTCAGAGGCAAACACCCAGTCCAGAGTGATGTTCGAGCCCACGGGGAAAGTCGACGAGCCAGGGCCCCGCAAGCTTGGCAAACTGACCGTCAAGTACAACCGCAAGGACCTGCAGAGGAGACTGGACATTGAGGAGTGGATAGACGAACAACTGCACCTGCTCTTGGACTGTGAGGTAGGGGGAGGACACACAAGCGCATACACACTCGTAGCAGTGGAGGCAGGGACTCGATATCCATCATCATTTGACATTCACTGATAAGAAGGAGAAAAGCGAGGGAGATTGCTTCATACATTCACTGAGCTAACTGCACTTTCAGCTGTTGTTCGATGTTGCAGCAAGAATAAATTGACAGAATATCAATTCGAACCGGAACACTCAGACAAAAATCCAAAGCTGCCCTGTGCATGTACAGTACAGTGCAGCAACACAATCCACATCAACAGCACTCCCGCAACGTGTGACACAATCCAATTCTGTCACTGGCTGCACACTGATTTGCATTGGATTCTCTCAAGGGGAAACCATGGCAACAGATGTCTCATCTCCCACGTGAGGCGGCTCGGCACGGTGGGAAGGGGGATGTCCATTGGCTAGCACGGGATGACGGTGCAGATTAATGACAACATCACCGAGGCAGACACTGGCACATGATGTGCTGCGAAATGACGAGAGCATGTGCACACCTTTATCCAATTGACTAGTCATCAGACAATTATATTCCTCAGAGCAAATTCGGACAGGGACAGAAAACACATTTATTGGCATGATGATGATAAGGGATAGGACCGTTAAGGTTACATTTATGTACCGCAAACACATTTATTGGCATGATGAAGGAGATGACAAGGGATAGGACCGTTAAGGTTACATTTATGTACCGGTATTTCTTTCCGGGCGGCACGGTGGTCGACTGGTTAGCACCTCAGCTTCACAGTGCAGAGGTCCAGGGTTCGATTCTGTCTCCGGCCTTCCTGTGTGGAGTTTGCACGTTCTCCCCGGGCCTGCGTGGTTTTTCTGTGGGTACTCCGGTTTCTTCCCACATTCCAAACACATGCATGGCAGGTTAATGGAACACTCAATATTTCTTACAGCGAATCATCATTATGTTGGGATGTTTACATCATATAAAAAAACTTGGCACAGCCCGTCTATGTGCACAGGATTATGGCTGGAGTTCAGAATACATTTTGCATTGCCTCAAGGGAGGCGTTCTCTGTTGGTTGGAGTTTGCCGCTTGGATGCTTTTACCAGCGGTCCTTTGCATTGCTATTTAAATTATTTAACCACATCTCGAATTTATGCAAGCGCTGCCTTGGCCAGCTTCTTTGCAAACTTCACACCTTAGGAGAAATAGTAAACCTCCTAGAAGGTGTGAGCAGTAGAAATGGAAATGTCTGGCGGCATTTAAGCTTGTTTATGTAGGCTGTCATCATTTAACCCCCTCACATTCATAAAGTGAGTAAATTAATAATCGTAATTGACATATAAATGCTGGGGGATGCTGACAAATAAAGCTTTCTTCCTCAAACCACTATCTGTGTCCACATCTGCTTTTATTTCCTTGTGTTATTTCATTCCTCCTTATAAAGTGAATTCTAGTGAAATTATGTTACCCACTCAGTGTATGATTATATTAATACATTCATATTGGTTGTGTTTGCATTAATCATGTTGTAAGGGGCTCTGATAGTCCTTGAAACTCTAACAGGAAATGGAAAAAAAAATAGTCTGATAAGTCGAAATTGTGTTGGCATTTTCATTGACATTTTTATTTCCTGGGCACAGTTTCCTTATTATCAAGGCAGTAAAAACATCGCGTGTCTCGGTGGCGTTTTGTTTTGTGTTCCTTTAGACTGAAGGCTTTCAGGATTATCCGCTATGGACCATGATCATCGGTGATAATGAACAAGTCTGTCTAAAGTGAAATGATTCCTTGAGACCAAGTAAAACAAACAAGTGAACGGTATTTAATGACTCAAGTATAAACCCCAATTCCAATAAAATTGGGAAGCAGTGTAAAATGTAAGAAAAAACTGAATACAACGATTTACAAATCCTTTTTGACTCTTTTTGAATACACAACAAAGACAAGTTTAATTCATGTTAAACCTCTGTTTGTTTTTTCTTTTGCAAATATTCACTCATTTTCAATTTGATACCAGCAATACGCTCTTTAAAAAAAAAGCTGCAACAGGGCGTGTTTATCACTTTGTTGCATCGTGTATCCTTTTAAAAATTTCAATAATTGTTTGGGAACTGAACCCATTAATTGTCCAATTCAAATTCAGTTGCTCAACAATAAAGGGTCTCCGTTGGTATCTTTTACGCCAGTATACCGTATATTACGCCACACATTCTCAACGGGAGACAGGTCTGGACTGCTGGCAAGCCAGTATAGTACTCTTGTCATGACGCCACACTGTTGTAACATGTGGAGAATGTGGTTTGGCATTGTTTTGCTGAACATAGCAGGGACGTCCTTCAAAAATATGTTTGTTGGATGGCAGCATATGTTTCCCCGAAATCTGTTTGCAACTTTCAACATTGATGGTTGCATCACAGATGCAAAAGTTACCCATGCCGACAGGCAAAGGGACAAAACACCAGACAAGAGAGAATCCAATTGCTTATGTTGACTGCATCTGCGTTGGTTCAGAAACCAACGCAGCGACTTTGAAATTCATAAATTCCTATAATAGCTCCGACATTCATTTTATTGCTTTCGGCTGCCAAAAGTGTGACTAAGATGCTATTCAGAGGCCTCATTAAAGTGCAAGATCTTTTACGCTGCAGGTAAATCAGCCATGTTGTGCAGTACGAATCGCAGATATTGAAGTGCTGTCGGAGGGTCACAGAAAAGTAAATATTTTATTCTCCTTGCACACACAGAGGCTGAGTTTACATTCACTGCACTTTGAGGAATTATCCTTATTCACAAGCTGCTCAACCAATACTAACCCGCTGCTTATCGTGACCAAAGAATGTCAAGAGAGTAAAAGATGAAGACAGAGCACTTCCACTGAATGTTTTAAATGAGCTGCAGTCGCTTCTTGTGAGAATCTCTTGAAAGGCTTTCCACCATTGAAAGCTACATTGCATGCAGAGCTGCAGCAATGGATTATGGCAGACCAAAAGTAAATTGTCAACCATGTTAAAGTACATGAAAAAAAAAATGCAATAAATCGCAACCAGAGTTAGCCGGTGAAAATACAAACTCAACCCTAAATGGAAATAAGCATTATGAGCCAAAGTAACAAAAACAAACAAATTAAAAAAAAAAAAAAGTCCTGCAGAGCTTCGCAGAATAACACGGGGTCCACCCTGGCAACATGCATCAATTAGATGGCGCACGGGGGACCTGGCGAGAGGGTCCATCCACTCCACCACTCAGCACTTCACATTGATTAGCTCTCTCATCATCCAGAGAACCGTCCAAGCCCAATCTTCCCCCGGCAATGAAACCTTCCCAACCGGAAAATATTCCCCAGCAAAATCAAAACTACCCTGTCAAATATGAGCGCTCATCTGCTGAGTCCGAAAATTCTGTTGGTCAAGTTTCCTCCCAGGACACTCTACAGTGCTGCAAAGTCATACATTTCTGAAGATGACACATTTGTGATATGTCTTTTATAGCCTCAATCGGCAGTTATTTAAAAAAAAAAAGTGATAGTCACTACATTCATGACTTGGGTGAGTGGAAACACTGACGCTCTATTTTTACAATATTTTCCATCCCACTGACTGCTCGGTGGCGTGGAGAGTAATTTCACTGGGATTTAGGATGGGATGTGTCCTGTGAGCTTTTCTGTCATTCGCATGTGAGTACAGTAATTGAGGGATAGGGAAGAGGAATGCAGAAACAACTTGTGGTTTATTTAATGTTTTATTTTGGCTCTTGCAGGAAGAAGACATCCCAGAGTTGGAGATTGACATCGATGAGCTCTTGGAGCTGTCAGATGAGGGTCAAAGAATGCGAGTACAGGTAAATCATTGTGTGTTGACAACGTTTTAGAATAGGATTACTGTACAAGGAAAATGGCTTGAACACATACTTTAGTGTCCAATATTTAGGCACATGGGTCATGTTAACAATTTTCCCCCCTTTGCCTCAAGGTTATTAACGTCATGAAAACTATTGAAGTAACTTAAACTAAAATTGAAAAAAAAAACATTCAGTAACAAAAAAACAAAACAAAAAAAAAGAGTGAGTGCCCTTTTGCGTGTGGCCCAGGAGCATGACATGAGAGGCCAAATTTAACTAGTTCAAAACCAGATAAAAATGATATTGGCTTGAAAGAAAACCTCTTTGCAGTGTGCTATGTATATGTGAGTACATTTGTTCGCAAGAGATTGCTGAATGTCGTGGTACTCCATTGTTTCATATTGAAGCACTTGGTACCCGAGCACCAATCACTTAGCGCTCAAGTCCAAAAATATTTAAAAAATAATTATTGTTACACTCGAACAGCTTTATTTCATACAAAGACATTTAGTTGAATATCTGCTACAAATTACCTGGACTCGTAGCTTACTCGGTCATCATAGAATAAACAAATAATTTTTTACTAAACAAATGTCCACTTTGTATTTTACAGTGAACCTATTGAACTTCGGTTGAACTTACTAAAATCGTTCCAGTGGAAGCACTGTACTGGTATACATTGCGTCATTGGAGGTACCTTGTTGACACTGAATGAAATGAGCGTGATGTAATTTTTTTCTGCCGACGTATTTTCACATTAAGGAGAGCGAAGGGCTCGCCTGTACTATAACCCGCTCTTCACCCCAATAAAAGGCTGTTTTGTCGGATACAAGTCGAACAATCTATTTTCTCTTGATTTAACGTGTTTGATGGTGCTGAGGTGAGGCTACTCAAGTTCCTCCAACCCAAACTCCACCTGGCCCACCAATGATTGATTGATGAAACAAGTTTCCCATCACTTTTGACTGCATAATGTAGAAACGTGTTTTCCGTACTTTTCTTTTGCTGCTTTCAGGAGTTATTGCAGGAATGCAGGAAGCCAATAGAGGTGAGAAGTTGTCATCGTTCTTCTACTTGCTTGACATTGCATGCAGTCGATCATATCCGGTCAGAGGTGTTGTGTTCAAATGTCATCTTGCGCCTTTGTGTGACATTTGCCTCTCCTCACCATGCCAATGGCATGAAGACACACCGGCTTGAATGCGAGTTTGAATGTTTGTATGTGACCTGAAGTCAGCGGTCCCCAACCTTTTTTGCCCCACGGACCGGTTTAATGTCAGACAATATTTTCACGGACCGGCCTTTAAGGTGTGATGGATAAATAGAACAAAACAATATGATATGACCCGCATGAAAACTGTGGTATTTTCGAAACATAATAATACACACGAATCATGACACGAGGAACGTCCTATCTGGCCGCAACGCTCTCTGGTCGCTATCGTCACGTTTAAACGTGCTTTCAAAATAAGATACACCGCAAATACAAAGTGCATGAAAAATACGACTCACCATCGCCCCATATAATGCAGAGTGGGCTTCGTGCGTGGGAATCTCCCGTTGTGATAAATCTGTATTTTAAGTCGGACTCCTGATACTGCGTCAAGAGTGACAAACTGTAGACGGATGTAACGGAGAGTCCGGTAATTTTTCAAAATAAAACATCTATTAGCTTCCGAAATAAATAAAACAGAAGTAATGTAAGTTATTTATTCTTTCTGTGTGGCCCGGTACCAAATGACCCACGGACCGGTGTCGGTCTGCGGCCCGGGGCTTGGGGACCACTGCTGTAAGTGACTGGCAACCGATCCAGGGCGCATCCCACTTCTCACCTTAACTCAGTTTAGATATGCTTGAGCTCATCTACTCATTCCCCCAAACAGCTGTACAACATGAATGTGTATATGATACGCTTATGTTTGAAAGTTCATAATTCGAGAAAAATATATCACCGGAGTTCTGAGCTTCCTTGTGCATGTTTCTTAGGATTTTGTGAACGCGCTGCTCTACAGGATAAAGGGACTACGTAAAATGTCAGGACCCTTGAAGAAGTAGCTCCAGGTCAAATGAAGAATTGAGACAATGGATTCGAATCGGCTCCAATTCCCAATATGTTTACTATTTGAATGCCTGTATGTGCGGTTCACATCCTCAGGGGTCTTTTTCCCCTCCTCCTTCCCAGGTCAGCCTCAGTTGGACACCACAGCAGTCAGTCGAATCCATTGATTTCCTTTGAATATGTGGACTGTCGTAACATCGTCTCCCACACAATGCCCACGTAACAATAGCTGTAATATTACCCGATATTTTAAATCATATGTAAGCCTGTCATTTTTCCTTTGCTTGTTAATGTACATATTCCTTCATATATGTGTGCTGTATGACAATAAAATGAGACATTTTCAATACTAAGAGTCACACTTCATTGAACAAAAAAAATGTTTATTCCACACACACACACTTTCAATAAATTCCCCCTCATAAAAATGACTTAATGACTCAGAATATAATTTCCAGAAAGCAATTTTCTGACATTCATCTTTCAGCGCGGCGCAGGAAGCCAAAGGGGATGTTGACATGTCAAGTTTAGGAGTAAACACAGCAAAAAATCATCGGCAGGAAGGTCCATTAGGTATGCATCCATTATCCTCTCCCATTTCCTGTCTTGTGTACGACATAACCAGAAAAGGCAAACACATTAACGACCTCCATACAAAGCTTAATGGAGCCCCCGGAGGAGCGTGATGATGGCGCCTCCTCAGTCGGGTAGACATTGATGTGTCTTGATGAGACTACACTCTGCTGTTCTGTCACACATGAGGGTCTTTTGGCTCCATCAGGTTCCATTACAGTAATTTGCTTGGATCGCCCCCATTTCCACTATCGAGGCCATCAGACTCTTCACTTGTGACCTCTCCGACAGACTGACACATTTCTGCAAAGTGCTTATACCGACTGCAAAAGTACAACAAAAATAGATCTCAGCGTCTCTCGAAGACACCCCGCAGCAGCCACTGTAATGAAATTAAAGTGCAAGCAGAAGCGGGGCGATGCTGTGATGTTCGACACACATCCAAACCTAATTACAGGAGTGGCTGAGACGCCTGCCAAAGGAAAACAAAACCTGCCCTAATCCTTTTATACGGACTCTGTGGATCTTTTGTCAGTCTAGTGTTGACAGTCTGCGATTCTAAATCATTCCAAAAGAGCTCATGATTGCTTTTTGTTTGCGATGTCAACATTTAAAAATCCCCAAATTGCAGAGTAGAACATGACAAAAAATGTTTTTTGATCCTGAGGCGGCGCAGACTTTGCTTAAAATAGCCAATAACTCAAGACTTATTTCTCTTTTGACAAATTATGAAAAACATTGCGTTAATTATTCATACATCACATATTGTTCGACATGCAGTAGTGTTTCAATCCGGTTTCGCGCTGTTGATCAGGCCGCCATCATCGGTGCAGTTTCGCCATCAGGACTTCCTTTTCTTTTTCGGTGCAGTGTAATTGGTGGTGCGATGCTCCTCCCTGTCATATTTATCGTGTCCTTCCCTGCGAATGTCAAAAAAAAAAAAAGAGTGTGGATGGATAATTCATAACACTAAATACTTTATAAGCATGATGCTCGGCAATATGGCAACAGCTTGCCTCTACTTTATCTGGGTCATCGTCTGCATTCACAGTCGCATGGATCATTTGGGAGCACAGGAGAGCCACCGTCAAAGTGAAATCCAAACAAATTCACGTTAAGACTACCTGAAGCAGCGATTGCAGTACAGGTCTCCGTCACAGGAGTGGCAGCGTAAGGTGGCGTCACGGTTACAGATGCAACACCATGGAAGTTCGTCGTCATCACTGTCTGATGGCGGATCAGCTGATCTTACAGCTGCTGGTGGAGTCCTGCTCTTGGTTGCCGGAGCTTGAGTCTGTCAGACGGATCAAAAACAATGATCATTTGTAAGCGATGATCACTAACAGCTCAGAAATACTCGAAAAGTATTCATTGTTTCATACAGGCTTCTTGGCAGACTTTTCCTTCTCTGTGTTTTGGGGTCCACTGTGTTCTGGAGGTATGTTGTAGCCACTGGCCTCATCTAGCGCAGCTTCTTCTGACAGCTGCAACAACAGACACACATGAATCGTACACGCAGTATGTAAGCGTGTAACGCCTGACATGAAATCACAAAATCCATACCCGTGTATCAAATGAGAGCGGCACTGTCATCCACACACATGCCACCATACCTGCTTTAAAACCCTTTTTATGGCTTCGTCCTCCGTCTCCTCATCACTGTCGGGATGTTTGTAATCTTCCATCTTCACTGGAAAGGACATACTTTTTAAAAATAAAAAATAAAAATCTGTTGCATCTTATTTCCTAACGTTAAGACTGACAATAAGAGTTCATGTGTGGCTTTCTTGCAGCGAATAACGCTGCTGTGATTGACTGATTATGTGTCGAACCTTTGTCGGGGTCCTGGCCTTTCAGCTGTGCGAGCCTCTTGGCCATGTTGTGGAATTGTTCTGTGAAATGATGATCCTTCTTCAGCTCCTGATTGGCCTCTTCAAGCAAACGTGACGCCTCAGTTTCAAGCTGCCTCCTTGGGTCTTGGTTGTCATCCATATTGTCCTGTAGTGTCCTATCCTCTCCTTTGTTAAGATCATTCATGTGCCCACCGTCGCCTGATAAGACAATTTTGAAATAAATCGTAGTTTCGCAGGGTGATCGCGGCATGGTCGTGAGGTGTCAAGTCAATATTTTAATAATTTTGGACTGGATTTATTCTTCAAAGCATTGATATTAATTACCGGTAGTGCAATTGCAATGCCTTCATTTTAATGAGGTTAGCGCACAGTCCCAGCCAGGACTCCATTTGCACAGTCTAAAGACGCTAAATATGAAGTAATCAGGGCAATCTATCGTATTTATATTATGAATAAACAGGGGCAGAACCGGTTCTGACAGGGCCACCACAAACTGACTCGTGGCGGCCCCTTAAATGTCGAGCCCTATGTTAAAACTGTTTCATAAAGGGTGTTTCCTTACTGTAGCCAGGATCTGCAAGCTGATGGTCAATGGTAACCTCCTCTGTCATCTGAGTAAGAAGATCATTGGCTTGCTCGGTCTGAGTCCTGTTGTCTGGAGGCTGGCGGACCTGTAAAGAGGAACACAATGAGACACACTGAACAGGTATGTGATGAAAACAAGACCAGTGTTGCTACAGTTACCTTGAGAAAGTAACTTACTTTACTGATCACTCGCTTAAAAATGACAACTGGTTTGGAAAGAGGAACAGAATGAGACACACTGAACAGGTATGTGATGAGAACAAGACCAGTGTTGCTCCAGTTACCTTGAGAAAGTAACTTAATTACTGATCACTCGCTTAAAAATGACAACTGGTTTGGCCAATTCTTTATTGCAAGTGAATTTTTACAGTTATGTTTAACGATGAAGTTGTTAGGCTGCTCGTGACTCAAATGGCAGCCATTACTGGATCGTAAGTGAGGTGTTACTGGCATCACTAAACATGACATGCATGTTAGGGTTGTGCTCACAGGTGGGGGAGCTTGAGAAGGAGGAGTTTGACCCTTCAAAGCTGCTAATCGGTCTTCCATCTCCTGGGAAGAAGGCACAGGCTTGCTGGGAACTTTAAGGGCAGCGAGCCGAGTCTCAAGTTCTTGTTCAGATGGAATAGACTCTGTGCAGGAGGTAAAAGCAGCATCAGCAAGTGATATAACTGTCACATAAATTGTTCTTGTTTGTAAATAAGAAATGATAATACTTGGCGCAGAGTCTTCTTTCAGCTTTTGAAGCCTTTCAGCAATTGTCTGATCTTCCTTACTTAGGCCTTTCGGAGGGGGAAGACTTGCCAGAGAATGTATACTGCCTCCATGTGGTTGTGTCTTCTGTCCTTGTTTGGCTTCAAATGCAGCAACTCGCCTGTTGAGCAATGTTGTTTTCTTTTACGAATGCACCATTTCGAGAAACATTAGGTTTACAAACGTGATGCTAAACTCACTTTTTGTAGTTTTCAGGGGGAGACCATCTTCCAGCATCGTTTGAAGTATTCCCGCTGTAAACATATTATAGTGGTGCAGAATCAGAAGAGGTTTACTGCCTGAATTGTTCACTAATCACGTGCAATTGGTATTATTTTTTTAACCAGATCTACCTTGTAAGATTACCATGGCATTGCTTGCAGACCTTTTGCTGGGTGTTACCATAACGTGGGACCACCGCGTTATAAGTCAAGCAGCTGGCGCAGAAGGATCGTCCACAGCTTTTACAACCCAACTAGGAGAAAATAAATAAATAAAAGCACATTCGTACATTAAATCCTCGAAAGAAATGTGATACAGTATTGAGGCATAATGACCCGCGCGAGACCGAAACACCTTACCTCCTTTTTGAAGACACCGAACTTGGCGGTGCAACAATAACAACGGTTATCCATTCCTATGGGTATGTAAGGATAAGTTACACATTGATTAAGCTAATATAATGCAAGACGGCACAACTTCAAAGTCAATAGGAATCCGGCGTCAAGCCTCCCTTCGCGACCAAAACAGGAAAACATCCGGAAGCTGTCGTGTTACGTCATAACCGGTTTGTAATTCCTCCAATGAAATTTCCTCCAAGCAAACAGCGCTCCTCGTTCAAAACGAAGCTTGCTGCTGCACTGCTGTCAACAACGGAGAAGCTTGATCTTTGACACACACAAGGCATTTTGTGAGTGACAACCAAGCGATTATTTCACGTAACGTGTGTACCGTTGTCGGGGGTGCATTAAATGCAACCCTTTTTTTTCAACATGAATTGTAAGGTCTCGAGGTAACGAGAATTTTACCTCGCTAACGCGTTAGCCTCCACGTTATGCGGTCGAGAGCAAAAGCGACATTTGCTCTTCAGTTTTAATTGGATTGTCCTGCAAGGTACCATGGTTTATTGCATCATGTTAAATCGTCACATTAATGTTTTGTTGTTCATTAATCTAACAACGGAGCATTTGTTTGATACGCAGTTACGTAATGTTGTGTTACGAGTGGTTAATTCCTGGAATACCGCCCTCAGTTGTGTGTGTTTTCTACAAAGTAAGCAAACCCTCATTGTTTGGATCTTAAGTTAAACAGATAAATATATACTTTATTCATCCACGAAGGAAATGTACTGTTCTGTGGAGTAATTATATCCACGTTTCCTATTTAATTAATGTTGTTGTCGTTTATAAAATGCAACAAACGATTTCGACACGCTTGGTCTTCCATAATAACCAAGTGTTATACAGTCAATACTATAGGAAAAACACTGCCCCCCCCACACACGCATATACATCCGTACGCGCGCACACGAAACCCTCTCAGCAAGATTTCTTCCAAGCATTAACATACTTCAACCGCAACATTTTTTCTCTTTCCGGATAATGAAAAAAAAAAAAAACACGATGCGTGCTTCTTGGGTCCTTCAGTCGTAACGTGTACGTAAACACAATTTTTAATTGACATTTTAAATGTCCCAAATAATTAACTTTATAAAAGGAAGCATTAAATGGCATTGCTCAGTTGGTGCACGTCTGTTGCCAAGTGCCTCATGGTCGTTTCCTGCTTTGGGTAAAAAAGCGACCGTGGCAAAATATTGCATACACATATCTGAGGTCATACTGTATCTCGAACAAGTTGTTAAATTAGCACCTTGTGTTTGACAATGTTCAGTCTGATTGTCTTCCACTAGCCTCCTTTCAGGTTCTGACCAGGTTGTCTGTTTCTTAGCTGCAATTGAAGTCTCTGGTCGCTTTTTTTGAAAAATTGTCATAAAGTGGCTGGAAAAAAATGGCTAAACGTATATGTATGTATAACTATAGCTAGCCACCAAATAGCTAAGTTGCTAATACGTATTGCCTGTGCTTTTGTAAACTAGCGCCTCTCTGTTTGCTGCCATGCCATTTGTGCAGAAAATGCAGCTCTTGACTGTCTTCATCTTTCTGCTCAGCTGCTTTCCATAATGGCAGAAGGGGAGGATGTGGAATGGGAGCTGTGCAAAGAAAACATTCAACCTCTGAGACGTGGAAGAAACATGTCAGCCTTGCTTCAGGCACTCAGTCAAAGCAAAGATGGCCTCAGCCCTGCCATCCTCCAACAGAGACAGTATGAACGCTTTGAATAAAACATGACCGTGCATATTTTAATCATTGTAAAATGATGATAATGTTTGTGAATGTGCTGTATTTTTTTCCCTTAGGGCTTTTGAGTCTGAATTGCGGCTGTACAACGGAGATGATCCACTTGATGTTTGGGATCGGTAAGCGTAAATAATAGTACAGTCGAGATGTGAACACTTTTAATGCTGCCCATGTGGTTGTGTGTTCAACAGGTACATCAAATGGTCAGAGCAAATGTTTCCTCGGGGAGGAAAAGAGAGCAACCTGAGCACACTGTTGGAGCAAGCCGTGACACGATATACAGACGAAAAGAAATATCACGACGATCCTCGCTACGTGGACCTCTGGATCAAATATGTGCGTTTTTTGATATTTCACACCAAGCTGTCTCCTTAACATTTTCAAACCTAATATCGGGCTGGTGTCTGTTAGGCACAGCATTGCTTGCAGCGCTTGGACATTTACAGGTACATGAAGGCCCAAGGAATAGGGATCACCCAGGCGTCCTTCTACATCGCCTGGGCTGAGGAGCTTGAGAATGGTGGCAACTTCCTCAAAGCCGATTTGATCTTCCAAGAAGGACTTCGTATGCTTGCCCAGCCTCTTGACAGACTACAGCAGTTTCATAGGTGGGCATTCATCCACTACTTTATGAAGTACACACTTTAATCACGTGCTGGGCTACTGTTGATTGAGATGTCTCAGCTCCTCTCCGTTAAATAAAGCGGCATTAATGTTGGTCCCTCTTCAAATTAAAGAACGAATGACTGTGAGTATTGTGCTATTATCTTTCTATGTATGTTGCTGTACCGTTTGTGTTCGTTGTTTAATAAAGGGCACTGCAACGTAAAGGCTCATTAGCGGTAGCAATAAGCTAGCACGCTGAAAGGCTAAGCTATGTTTGTTTTAAATACACGAGATGTACCTTTCATTCTTTTATGTGTAGTTTCACAAAAAAATTAGACTAGGAGTGGAAATAAACCGCTTGAAGCATCTTTTTTTTAAATTGATCTCGAAGTGCTACTTATTCTGCAGTGATCGGGCTGGTGTCTGTTAGGCACAGCATTGCTTGCAGCGCTTGGACATTTACAGGTACATGAAGGCCCAAGGAATAGGGATCACCCAGGCGTCCTTCTACATCGCCTGGGCTGAGGAGCTTGAGAATGGTGGCAACTTCCTCAAAGCCGATTTGATCTTCCAAGAAGGACTTCGTATGCTTGCCCAGCCTCTTGACAGACTACAGCAGTTTCATAGGTGGGCATTCATCCACTACTTTATGAAGTACACACTTTAATCACGTGCTGGGCTACTGTTGATTGAGATGTCTCAGCTCCTCTCCGTTAAATAAAGCGGCATTAATGTTGGTCCCTCTTCAAATTAAAGAACGAATGACTGTGAGTATTGTGCTATTATCTTTCTATGTATGTTGCTGTACCGTTTGTGTTCGTTGTTTAATAAAGGGCACTGCAACGTAAAGGCTCATTAGCGGTAGCAATAAGCTAGCACGCTGAAAGGCTAAGCTATGTTTGTTTTAAATACACGAGATGTACCTTTCATTCTTTTATGTGTAGTTTCACAAAAAAATTAGACTAGGAGTGGAAATAAACCGCTTGAAGCATCTTTTTTTTAAATTGATCTCGAAGTGCTACTTATTCTGCAGTGGGTTGAGTTGAGTCCATTGCCATTGTGTTTTTTTTTTTTGTGTTGTGTAGAACAGTGTTTCAATCCTTTTGATTTTGATTATTTTTTTTAAATCAGAAAATCTGTTAGACAAGGGTGTGTTCGTTTTCCACCATAAATGAACTGCCTCTAATCCTAATGTTCTTTGTTATTAGGTTGCTGCAGGCTCGCGCGTCTCGGCAAGCGATGAATAAAGTCGATGACAGTGACAGTGACGACGAGACCAAACAGCCTGAGCGAGTTTCGCTTGCCGAGCTCAAAACGCGAGGGAAAAAGGCCGCCGTGCCTATCGTCCGAACTGGAGCTGCAATTAAATGTAAGCATAAAAATAAAGACCGCGCTCAAAGGCAGTGTGTAGAATTTTTCGTGGGGCAAGAAAGTGTTTAAATGTCTATATGTGTGTAGCTGTCTCAAGGGGCCTGAGTTTACGTGCCGCTCCAGTGGAAGAACGCAGCAGTCAGAGCAGCAACAGTAAAGTGGTGATCTTTGATGAAAACAAAGCAAGCGCCGTTCCTTCGGAACCGAAATTCGAGCCTTGGTTGGCTCCTCCTCCTGCGAGGGCAAAGGAAAATGAGAAAGCGGTGGAAAAATGGTGCGACGTGAAGGTGGGATCAAATGCTAATTCCTTTTAATATATGTTTTGTATACACTGTCATGATTTTTGTTGACATTTCTTTCCATTTTTTTGGACATCCAAGATGCGCCAGAAGTCCAAATTTGGAAACGCACTGATGGCTGCACCTCCTCCAAAGCCCACTTTCCAACCATTTGTTGACGAGTCGGATGAGACACCGAAAATGTGAGTGATCCAATGACCTGCATGTTAAGCAAACGCTTTTTAAGACTGTCACATTGTTTTCGACCAAATGGCAAATGGAAAAGAGACAAATTATTGGTTTTGTTGTCCTTGTGGATCATGTTTTTCTTCTTGACCGTTGCGAGTCAGCTTTTCCCGTTTCCTCTGTGGTGTGCGACCTCTCGCTCAGGACACCGTGCAAGATCATCCCGACAGTGAACAACATTTTGTCAGCACGCAAGCCCTGCAGAGACGACACTCCTCTGAAAAGGCTGCTGGAGCACCAACGTCAACAGAAAGAAGGCGAAACGAGCAAAGACCCGGAAAAGAGCATGTACTGTAAAGAGCTGCTCTTCAGCGGCACCACCGAATTCAGCTTGGAGGAACTGCGTGCCGAGCTTTACATCAAGAAGAAGAATTCGCAGGCGGCCGTTTGCCCTGGCGAGCCGGCGACCGACACCGAGACGAAATAAAAAGGCAAATCGTGTTCATCGTGTACTCTCCACTTTTAAAACATGTTCCAATGAATCAAAATCTGCCAATACTTGTTGCAGGTCTCGTGAAAAGCCTTTCTGGGTGCTGGTCATGTGGTACTAGCCCCAACCTTTTTTTTTTTTTTTTGGTGCCAATTGACCAAACCGGAACCCATCAGCTGCCTCCTAAGTCCACATCGGCCAACAAGGCTACAGCTTCAGCTTGAGGGCATATCTTACCACTGGTAAAGTACTGTACTGTATTAGAACGATCTGCAAATGCAGTGCTGCTCTCCATGCCTAATGTCGGAGCTTCTCTTGATGGTGTTGAGCAAAGATGGTCTTTCTTGCCTTTGTAAAGGCAAAATTATGATACGGTTCGTGTATTGGATTGCGGTGGAAAAATGTTGTCAGGTTGTGTCCCATAGGTTTTGATTTTTCACTTTGATTTTAGGGTTTGTCTCTTGTGTTTGTGACCGTTGTTTAGGTTCCAGCTCATGCAGATTTTGTCACAACACTGAACTAACAAAAACACCCCAAGATTATTTTACTGTTATCGGGTAATGTAAATTCTTCTCCATCCTGCATGCGCTTCTATATCAGCTTCTCTTTGACCAATAGTGATTTTTTTTCCCGACATCCTTTTTTTTCCCCACTACAGTTCTGAATTTACAAAAAAGTGGGGTGCTAAACCGTCCTCAATAAAACACTTCAAATGTTTTGTGTGTCATTAATGCATCATTAGGGATGGCCAGAATAACGACGTATTAATTCAGTTCAATATTGGGATTGATTATTCATTCGCGAACAATCAGAATAGACGTCACTACTTCAGCAGAGGTGCTGTCGAGTTCGTAGTTTGTGGTTGAAAGCAAGAAAAAACATCAGCTCTGGGAAACTGAGCTCCATCCACCAAGACTTCCAAGGCAGCATTAATCTGCGCGACACAGCCAAGGAAAGGAAATTGAAATTTCGACACATTCTGAGACAGACTTTATCAAACCATTAAAAAAAAACAACAAAAAAAAAAAAACATTAAATTTGTTGTTAATTTTCCTCTTAGTTGATCAAAGTAATGTAGTACAATGCCCATCTAGACCAAATTCTCTTCCATAGTTTTGGATTCTCTGATGTCTAAGTTTTTTTCTGTTTAAATGCGTTTTTTTCAATGTCTTGAATTTGTAAACAAAAATCATTTATTTTTCACTAATGAAACGTTCGGTGTGAACGTGCATATGAACTGGTTGGGTTCGGTACTCAACTAACAAGGTTAAGAATCACTGCTCTAGAGTCTCTTGGTTTAAAGATACTATTACAGCCCTCTGGCTTGACATTATGCGTTCGTCCAACCGCGGTTTAGCCAGCTGACTAAAGTAGCGCTAATCTACAGAGACGATGGGATCTCCTCAACGCACACGCACACACGCAGAAACAGTTTGCAAAGTAGATCTCGAGGAATGACAGTAGGATTAGGTGGTCAGCTCATTAGCAAGTCAAATCCTCCCATTACAACGCCTGGCCTTGGCCCTTCCCCACCATACCCACGCGCTGCGATGCAACGGCAGGCTGCTCGCATGTGGGAACACTGGAGAAAAAGTGACTTTAATAACTTAGTGGAAATATGACCCTGCCAGCCAAGATCCTCTCAACTGGTGAGTTGCCAAACTGTCTACTTTCAATTTTAGGCTTTGAGAGGCGAGAGCAGCTGAAATTCACAGATAAATGATGTTGGGGGGGTTAATATGATGCACTGCCACGGTAATAACGCGGCATAGCCACAATATAATCTACCGCTCGCTTTTTGACAGGACTTATTAAAAGCTCATCCCATGAAAGAAAACAAGCACGCAGGCAGCGACTCCGATCGCAGAAAATCCATCGCGATTTCTTTTACTGCAGAGTAGTGAAATGGTGTAAGCAGGCCACATTTGTGAAGACAGGCCCTCAGAGCATGCCGCTTTTTTTTTTCCCCCTCCCGAGTTCTTACTTTGAAAGACAAGCGTATTCATGTTCTGTAGTCCATGTGCTTTTAACCCAGTTCTCCCCCCCCACTCACCGTTTCACTTTGGGAAATCACGTGTACATTTTTCAGAAAGGCGTGGAAAGAAACTACGCTTGGTTGGCTCGCCTTGGAGATCCTGAGCAGCATATTGTAGGGCCATCTCGACAGAGCTGGGTGTCGCTTTCTGCCAGGAAAATAAATGAAAACGGGGAAAAGAAGTCATAATAGAAAATATTTTCTTGGAAGCAGTGCCAAAGTTGTATCTCACGATTTTAAATACATTTGTTTTTTTCTTAATCTTACCAGTTTGTGTCACTGCCTCATAAATTTAATTTCTACGTTCTATCAAACGATGCTGAGGTTGAATATTTCATTCTTTGTACAATGTTTAGCTTGAGTTTTGGCTCACCATTAACATATATTTTTGACGAATAACCACGAGCCTCTATTTAACCCTTTCATGCACCCTGTAACCTCATAACATGATAAACTGTCCACTGTTGTAACCGCTGTCCCTGAAAGGGTTAAACATAGCAAGAAGTAAATTTAGTGGGTCAATTCTTACTAATATACTCTATACTGTTATGTTACCCATCATTTTTAAGCAAAATACATTTATTTCATTTGTGTATGTTGAACCTTCTGACCCATTGCGTAATCCTTACGGCTTCAGCAAGCGTGAATTCAACATCCAGGCTTTCACATGAATGGATTGTTTTAAAATCACCATCAAGCATTCAACTCGAGGCTTAAGCAAGGTTTTCACCTCTGACACCGAAGCTCACAAATCAACTGGAATAACGCCAGTGGTGATCCTGTGAAAATGTTATTTGATGAATTACTACTGGCTTTAACCATTGTGTGGGGTAATGGTGACACAAAAAAATGTCATTGGTGGTAATTGATGTATTTTGTTAGCACTATTTTCCGACAATTATTTTGGAGCCATTTAAAGGCATCGAAGCAAATTAGTGACTTAAAACATGCACGATTGAATGATGATTTTTTTTTTTTAAATTTTGCTATAGTAGAGATTCACAATGAACCACAACACCATTGTGAGTGTGGAAGTCAACATTAGAAGTGGCTTATTACAAAACCCATTTCCATTTATAAACAAAAACTGAAGTAGCTGTGTTGATGAAGTTGTACAAAGACATTGATGCTGAGTGGAACAGAGGGTCAGGGTCATAGCCCCCCCCCCCCGTATCTGCAAGAGGCAAATATATCATTGTTTTGTAGATTGCTCCAGTCGAGCCTCTTTCGCTTGGGTTTATTCGATGTGTAAGGAGGAACGATGGTCATTTCAGTCTCTTCCGGGGGCCTCTGCAAGCGTTCCTCGTATCCATGTTTTTTTTTTTACATGTATGCCCCAAATCCTGCTTGCGCTGCTCGCAATTTCTAGCGTGACTTGACCCTAATACATTTTCCTGCTTTGCGCTTCGCCTTAGCAGCTGTATAAATGATTCAGAAAATAATTGTGGCGAAAGAGAAGCGAACGTTTCACTCAAGTAATGAGCATCGGCTCGCAAGTGGGTCTTTAGTTTTCACCCTGGAAGACTTTTCTTTCGAGTCACGTGACGGAAGGTTGCAAGGATGTGGACTGGAGGACTGTACCTTCTACTGAAATAGCAAAGTACCCCCACCCTCCACCCGCCCCAGCCCTCTCTCTTTTTTATACCTCTCCTGCCATCTGCCATCCCTGACCCTGTCATTCCATGGATAATGCATTTGACTGAACAGCGGCACAGTAGGTGAAGGCAGCACCCTCATGTTCTCATGTCACCCAGGTTACGTGTAAAGGAGACAGCGTGGTGGTGGGGAGGTGGGGCGTGTGGCACGTGGATGAAAAGGTATCCCGGAGGTCTTCTCTCCTTACCGTCATTGAATACCAGACGTAACACAGAAACACTCATGCGTTCCATGCGCGTAGACACATGCACACGCTGCCATCACAAAGACAGCCCAGCGACGACGGAGTGGGAGGAGGCAGAGAAGGAGGGCAGTGATAAAAAGGGAGAGAGAGAGAGAGAGAGGGAGGAAGGCTATGTGTGTATGTGTGTGTGTGTGTGTGGGGGCGGGGTGTGTGCGTGTGTGTGTGTGTGTAAGAGAGAGGGCGATTTGGAGAGGTAGAGCGGGTGGGGTTGGAAGGACCTGGATGGGGCCGAGGTATTCTCTCCCCGTGGATGCTCTTCATTGCTTTGGTCGTCCGTTCTCCCGTCCAGGCACACGGGCCCGCAGCAGCACTCAGCAGCCACGCAGCCGGGGATGAATCAGCCCCGACAAAGAGCCTTTTGAGATGGCAGTGTGCGCTCGTGCCTGGAGGGAGGAACGCATCAGGCTTTCCCAGGCAAGCGGCAGCCTGCAGTGCTCGCTGGCTTGAGAGCCAGTCTTCTCATGTCCTCGTGTGGGCGCGTGTGTGTGCGCGCTTGAGCGGTGTCACAAGCAGTGTATGCTCGCGTGTATGCGCTCACTCTCGCTTTCAACCCCTTCCTGGAGGAGAGTGGCTCCCCCCTCATCACTGGACAGCAAAGGTAAGAGGTTTTTTTTTTTTGTTCCGTCTCCTGTTAACAATGATGTATTCCTCCAGCTCCGTTCCCTTTGCTGATAGTGGGATAAATGGTTGGAAAGGAAAAGAAGCTTGATGGCATTGATGGATGCTAGTGTACGGCGTGGTGGGAGGAGAAGGCTGTGAGAATGCAGAGTCGCCAGGACATGTTGATGGGGAAGGGGGGGGGGGCTGCGAGATGGTTCTCATCTATGACGGTCTGCATCTTCTTCACTGTCTCCTCCGAGAAGATATCACGTCGACCCCGCGCTTTCTGCTCTCTCCACTGTCAACCTCAGAAAAGGGTTCCGCGTTCTCTGAGTCTTTAAAGGTCACGCTTTTTGATATGCGTCGCTCTTGACAAATATTGGACGTACGGTCCCATTGCGTAGCGATCGTGTGCGAATGATCAGCGCATGAGGAATCTAGAGATGCACTATTTGGGTCAAGATATTCATATGGCATCCACAGGAACTGAGAATGTAAGAAGAAAAAAAAAATTGAGTTCACCCTCCCACTCTGTTGGGAGGACTTGTCTGGACGAGGATTTGTTTTTTTCAGATGAAGTCACACATTGGATGAGAGGACCTTACTCAAAACAGTCTGTTCGAGTCTGTCCCACAAGATGTCGATGGGGTTTAGTTCAAGCCTCTCACTGTGCTACACTAAATGCATCTCTGTGCATTATGCTTTGGATTGGAAACTCTTCCACTGGTAAAATGAGGGGTCATAGTTAGGCAGAAGTTCTCTTCCGAACCTTGCTTGATGAGATGAGATGAGATGAGATTTCTCTCTCTCTCTCTCTCTCTCTCTCTCTCTCTCTCTCTCTCTCTCTCTCTCTCTCTCTCTCTCTCTCTCTCTCACCAAAATATGGGAGGTGATGTTTGCATGTGGATTTGACACAAAAACACGAAATATCTATCAATGTATCCATTTCCTATTTCACCTCAAAAGGTGCAAGGGTTGAGCTGGAGCCTATCCCATGCTGACTTTGACCGCGTGGTGGAGTGTAAATTGGGCACATACATACAGTACAAACCCTTCATAGTGACACCCATGGACCATCTAGAATCGTCAATGCATGTTTTTGGAGCGGCAACATAAAGCCACACAAGCATGGGGGGCGGGAACATTCAAATTCCACGCAGGAGCCACGATTTTTGTATTTTTTTTTTTTTAAAAGAGCGTGTAGATTTTAGCTTCGACGTTTTCTTGTCACCATTGCCCATCTTGCAACTTCTTTGCGGCCAGAAAAACATGCTGGTATGCCAATGAATGCATATTCATTGATTTTGAAATAGACAAACATTGACAGGTGCTTTTCTCTTTTACTGGAGACGATACGGCAGCTGCATCATCATTTTCCCGAAAACACACATTGCAAATACAAAACGGATGCAACCCGTGCACCCAGAGGGCACATACAGGAAATATTTGAGGCCTCGCACATGCGGGATGACGGAACATACGCGTAGGTGACATTGTTGTGTGCCCCCCTCGCCCGCTTGCTCTCATGAACGCTTTCGTTATTGTTACATCATTCGTCAGCCCTCGGAGGGAAACGTGTGCATTAGCAGCTTAGCGTAACCGGCAGCCACGAGACATCAAGCACTCAAGGATTAAAAATGGCAGTCCAAATTAGGACAGCGTGCCATGAGTCTCCCGACTGGGTTGAAAAGGCGCCCGTGCTGGGTTACTATGACTTGGTGCGGATACTGTAAAAAAAAATGTGAACTAGCTGAGAATATTGAATTAAAGCTTTCATGAGCGCATGCAGGCTTCTGCATCAATACATTAGATTCAAGAGAGCAAATCGGTACTGGTACCATTTGGTACATTGGGTTGCGTCAAATTGCCCCGTATGCACCTGAGAGCAAAATGGATGATTCATGAAATATAATCTGCATTTTCCTAAACGGTGCAAACCGTATAAACACGAAATAATTTTCTGAACGCGCATGGACAGTCGCATTCCGTGGTGAACAAGTATTTGTGGCCTTTAACAAACAAACTTTTTTGCATTTTCTGCTTCCACCCGTCCAGTGTTAAGCCTTTTTGACCCATTGAGGCCACCATTGCAACAACACCACATCGTGTTTGTTTGATTTTATCCTAGTACGTCACTCAACGGGGATGTTATTCGTCTGTATGGCGTCCTTTCGCCACCTCGGGTCTCTGAAAACGCTCCGTTTACATCATCACTGTTTACCACAATGGATAGACCAGATTAAGTGCACATTAATGTCTGGACTTCACGCTGCAGGGCAGAATGAATCAGCCCGTTTTGTCTATTTTGTCATCAAGCATAATTGGGGCGATATGTCCGGTGACAGAATGATGCATGAAGCCACTTGATGCAATTGTCCTCAAATCCCCTTCTCAGTAAAGGCTCGCTTGCTCGGGGATACAAACTGCTCAACATGACGGAAAAAGAGGGTTACATCTTGCGCACGTTGGAGGACTGTGTCGTGTAATTTAATGAGATAGAAAAGCGTGGCATGTGGGTGATTTGTAAAGACACAGACTGCTCCATTCTTTCAACATGTTGAATCCTTCTCCTCTATGTCCGCTCCCTCCATCCAGCTCCTCTGTGCTTGCTCATCCCTTCTCCTCCTTCAGCTGTCACTACATCTGAGTGTCCACATTCTTCTTCTTTTCCTCTCGTTTTATCATTGCTACTGTTCTTTTTCCCCTCCTGTCAATACCGACACAGCACATGAAGTCCTAATTCTGCCTCTCAGCATACATTTTGGACAAGTGCTTCTAATTTTATGAGAAGAATTTGGGGCTTGCACTTTTTGGTCTTTTCTTAATCAGATCGTATACAGTGGTACCTCTACTTACGAAATTACTGGAATTGGTTCTGGAAGAAATTTCTTAACTAGAACATTTTGTAAGTCGAGACGCGTTTTCCATGTAAATGCCCTAATTCGTTCCACCCCCCCACCCCCCAATCCAGAGTTCCATTTTAGCCAATGGGATGCCAGGAAAATGCTAAGTAATAGCCATTAGCAGAGCAGCTATAAGTATGTTGCGTTGAGGAAACTCGGAGCTGTGAGTAGCAGCCCATTCTGTATTTTAATTTCGTATCTTGAAATTTCTTTCGTAACAAAAGGCAATATTTTCCTGTTGAGGCATTTCGTAACTTGAACATTTCGTATGAAGAGACGTTCGTAAGTAGAGGTACCACTGGATGTCATTTCTCATGTTTTCATTTTTCAACTATTTGTCCAATGCCAAATGCGCCATGGGTTCGGAGTCACGTTGCACTGCTGTGACTCATGTGACATTAAAAAAAAAAACAAGTGTGAAGTGAAAGATTAGATGGCTATAACCGACTTCGTTTAAAATGATCTGTCTTGACAATTTATTACAACCATTTGCGTCCTTTCTGAACAACAGTTCCTTTCAGTACTTCAGATTCTATAAACTGTATATTGAACATAGTCCATAAATGTCACTTCACACGCCCTTGGGTGTGCGCAATATTGTGCCCCTGTCTTAGAATTAAGTTTTATCACGAGTACACATTCGTCATGGGATACGGAGACAATCTGCTTAAATCTGCAGATGAATCTTTTCTTTTTTTTTTGTCAGGAATTTCATGCGAATCCAAAGTTTTTATTGACATCCTTTTGTAAAACACAGCGAGGCCTTCAACCGCACTTGCACAATGTGATGACTTCTCAGAGGCAGCAGCTTGCGTGCCGTTCCCAAAGATTCCTCATATTTTAAGCACTTTGTTGTGCATGACGTATCAGCGCCACTTGGATGAAATATGCATGTGTTATTCCGTGTCATTGAATGCAGCGTGTTACATCACTTGCCGGCTTCTATTGACAATCCCTCCCGTGTCTACAGAGGTGACTTCAAAGATAAAACGGCAAGCGTCAACTTCAATAATAAACGGCGCCATTGGACTGTCCGGTCACGTCCAGTGTTTGCGTTGCTCTCAGATGCTATCAGCGTGAGTGGGTCTTTGTGTGTCTTTTGGTGGTGATGACCCCCCCCAACCCCCCACATGCTCCCCCCCACACCCAATCACCCTCTGCTTTCCCCTCATGAAGGAGAGTCTCATTACACTCAAAGGGCAAAAACGTTCATCATAGATGAAGTTGATCTTGGAGCAATTTTTAACTTGCCGCAGCACTGCATAGTCTGAAAAAAAACAAACAAACAAACAAAAAAAAAAGAGTAGAACGTGATGCTTTCCATCCCACGGCGACATTTTCTGATTCATTATATCTGGATTATCTTTAGACTGTACGTGCATTGACAAGCACAAAAAAAAAAGAGGATTACCTCATCTCCACCAGTTCCCACCCTCACCACACTAGTTGACACGAATCGCGCGCAAAATAAACACCGCTGCTGCAGAGGGTCCTAAATTAGATAAGATAAGATATCCTTTATTTGTCCCACACTGGGGAAATTTACAGTCTACAGCAGCAAAATTGTGGGTAGAAAGAAGAAAGAAAGATCGGTGAAGGACTGCACGTGCGCCATACTAATCCTGCTGCACCATCACCTGCATGCACGCTCACCGCATTCATGCAACCGCGTCCAACCAAAACGAGAGAGACAGAAATCAGGGCAAATAGTAAGTGAGGGGAAAAAAAAAATCATTGGCCACAGCTCGAAGCGCCAACGTCGGGAAAATCCAATCGCTCTCTGATCTCCCCATCCCCTCCCATGCATCCAACTACTGCTTGGGGTGGTGATTTTGAACATGACAGGATGGAAAACAGGCCTTCTCCTGTTGTGGTTGTGTTGTACGGAGGAAACATACGGATTGCGCGACCATCCAGCAGAGGGGTAGGCTGATGACTGGACCTTCATTTCCACTTTCTTGTTTATTTGTACAGTTATGCGGTTGAACATTTTACAATTTGCATGCTTCATTTTCAGTTTGTTCTCTTCCACTCAGGCTACTCAACAGCCCCCCCCCCCCCACTTAACCACGCATGTTATTCTTCTGCAGCT